AGGATGGCTTCTCAGCGAGGTGGGCTGTGCGCCGGCAGGCGAGCGTGGGGATGGGTCGCGTCCTGGGGACCCTTCCCGACCTGATATGCCAGGTTGAACCCACCCTTGGGCCTCCGCGGAAAGATGGGTGGGCGCCGGTCAGAGGAGGGGTACCTGCTATGAGAATTAAGCGTTATTGCAGCCCTCGAGGAGGGTCTTGAAGGGAGGCGGCCGCGCGTGGGAATAGGTTTCTCCCGCTCCTTCCCGCAACTGTCAGCCTCACGTCAGCGGAAGATCCTCACTGCCCATTTTACAGATGGGAACAGTGAGGTCTGCAGAGGAGAAGTGTCTCAACTAACAACCTTCAAACTCCTTATTTGACTTTGTCCCTCAGACAAAACCCTCCACTCTTGTCTAGTTTCCCCGGGACAGTAGGGTCAGGCCTAAGGGATGGAGGGGAACCTGACCCTCTCTGTACCCCCAGTATTCCCACTTTCCTGTGTGGTGCAGCAGTATGCCTGGGGGAAGATGGGTTCCAACAGTGAAGTGGCTCGGCTGCTGGCCAGCAGTGACCCACGGGCCGGAATCTCAGAGGACAAGCCATACGCAGAGGTGAGACCAGGGCTGTATTTTAGCCCACTTTACGGCAGGTGAGACCAAGGGACTCCTCTACTCAAAAGGCCTGGGGCAAGTCACATGGGTCAGCTGGGCACGGAGTGGGGGTAGGGGTATGGAGCGGCAGTAAAGAGGGAGGAGGTCCTCTAGGCTCTTCAGATCAGAGCAGGTCAATGAACTCAGATTGTGGCACCGAAAGAAAGACTTTTGTTAAAATAGGCTGAGATTTCCACTATGTCCTTCCTCCAGGAACTCTCAGCACTTACTGAATTTTAATTCAGCCGTCTTGACAATTAAAATGTTTGACTTTTACATTTTTAAACCTAAAATATTATGTATTTCTCCTGACAATTTCGTAGAGAAAAAAAGCATAAAAAGGCTTTAGCCTCCACTTCTGAGACTGGAATAAATGAATGCTAACACCTCACAGAGCCATTTGTCAGAGCTTTTCAGGACCTTGATAGTGCAGGTGTCATTTTCCTTACTGGAAAGATGAGCAAACTGGGACTCAAAGACACGAAATAACTAATCCAAGCCTCCACAGCTTGTTAGAGACAGAGCCTGGGTCTCTTGATTGCTGGTGTTCTGAGGTCTGCTGCCTCCCTTTATGTCCTTGATGGCATGAGCCTTTATATCCAGTCCTGGGAGGCCCCATGGGGAAGCACAGGGTAACTGGGATTGGGGCAGGTGAACTGGTGGTGCCAGGTTCTTCCCCCTTTCCTCTCAAATTTTCTGTTTTTCCAGCTGTGGATGGGGACCCACCCTCGGGGAGATGCCAAGATTCTTGACAACCGCATCTCACAGAAGACCCTAGGCCAATGGATTGCTGTGAACCAGGACTGCCTGGGCTCAAAGGTCAAGGACACCTTTAATGGCAAGCTGCCCTTCCTCTTCAAAGTACTTTCGGTTGAAACGGCCCTGTCCATCCAGGCACACCCTAACAAGGTACAGGATCAGAGGGGGCACAGAAGTCAGAGTAGAGAAGAGCTTATGTTAAGGCCCTCCCAGGACTTTTACTGCTTTTACTCCACCCATGCTAGACTCCAGCCCAAAGCTAAATCCAGGCTTGACAACTCTCAATTTAGCTGTGCATGGTCAGATGCTGGTGACACATGCTGGCAGCTAAGTCTAAGTGAACAGTCTGTGCCAAGGGAGTTTCTCCAAGCTTCTTCCTGGGCTCCATTTACCCAGCCCAGGACTATTCATATCTGCCATTTTCTCATTTGGCTCTCTCTGAAAGTTCACCTTCCAGTGCAGGGCAGTTACCCGGTTACCTCAGCTCCACCCTCAGGGAGTCTTTCTGCAACAAGCCCATGAGTCACAGCATACGCATTTGTCTAAACTCATTTCTAGATGGGCAAAGACCCAGAGAAGTGAGGGATTTACCCAAAGTCACACAGCTTGTTAGTGTCAGAGCTTGGCTTGGTGTTTCTGATTCACAGTCCAGGTCTCTTAAAGTTTATCCCAGCTTTTCCCCATATTTGGCCCATATCCCACCCCTGGGTTGGCTGAACCTGGAGTTTCTGCATTATGCCTGACTGGGCTTATTGCCAGAGATAGGAAGCCACTTCTGTATGGTAACTGGGGAGGGCAGAGAGCAAGGGCTGGGTGAAACTAGTATCCTGCTAAGTGATGGCTGCATTTTGACCATCTTCTTCCTCCCTTGGCCATCCCACAGGAACTGGCAGAGAAACTGCACCTCCAGGCTCCACAGCACTACCCTGATGCCAACCATAAGCCAGAGATGGCCATTGCCCTCACCTCCTTCCAGGGCCTATGTGGCTTCCGGCCAGCTGAGGAGATTGTGACCTTTCTGATGAGTAAGGTTGGGCAAAATGCTGAGAGCATGCATACTGGGCCTAGGATTCATGGGCAACCCAGGGCAGAGCTGGAACAGTGGCCAAGAAAAGAAGTTGAATGTCATAGGAACTGAGGGGGCTGGTTGGCCTCATAAATTCTTGACGCCACTGAGAAAGGCCCGAGACCAGGCTCAGGTGTGGTTGCTGAGGGTTGGTGGTGAGTAGTCGGTTTTCACTGCAAAGTTTGCTTAGCATTGTTTGGCTCTTTGATTAGGGATGGCATGGGGAGGCCTCCTCCAACTTCCCACTTCTATGGGTTCCATCTTGCCATTTCTGATATGGGACCTGGCCTGTCCTTGCCTTTCTGCAGAAGTGCCCGAGTTCCATTTCTTAATTGGAGATAATGCAGCAACACAGCTGAAGCAGAGCCTGAGCCGTGACTCCCAAACCGTGGCCTCTGCTCTGAAGAACTGTTTCTCCCACCTGATGAAAAGCGAGAAGAAGGTGGTGGTGGAGCAGCTCAACCTGTTGGTAAAGCGGATCTCCCAGCAAGGTGGGTGTCATTATAGCCTAGGAGCAATGTCCCAACCTGGGCTCCGGTCACATACTAGGCTATAGGGACAGGGTTCTCAACCCCTTTGCTCAAATGGAACACTAAAATGGGCCCAACTTAGATGGCCTGCTGGTGACTACTGATTCTTCCTGCCTGGAGCTCCTGTAGCACCCTGTTAATGTGTCAGATATAGCCTTTAGCACCTGTGAGTTTTATAATATCACATGCACACACAGGCTGGGAACCTATCCCCTTGACTTTTGCTCAGCACAGAGTAGGCATTCAGCATGTCTGTATGAAGACTACCAAAAACCCTCTAATCCAAATCAGCTGGTTTCTTTGTCGTAACACTGAAACACTCTGCTTTTACTTAAAATATCTTCCCTCATTCTATGCATTCAAGACAACTCAGCTCAGCACCCTCCCGCCACACACACACACACACACCCCACCCCCCCACCATTTCCAAGAAGCCTTCCCTCACCACTCTACTAACCTAAGCTGAGCTCACCCTCCCCTGGTTGGTCTGCAGGACACATTTTAGCTCCTGGCACGTTCTTCCTCATGCTATCTGGAGTGACTAACCATCTTGGTTTGCCTGGACTGAGTAATTTTCTGAGACACAGTATTTTCAGTGCTAAAAAAAGGAAAGACCTGGGCTCAGACAGTTGGGCACCCTACATGGAACTCTTTAGTTATCTCCTAATTAGGTTTTGAGCTCCTAGAGCAGTGGTTCTCAATCAGGTAACATTGGCAGTCGTCTGGAGACCTTTTTGGTTGTCAAAATCTGTGCTGGGATGCTAGTGGTATCTTGTGGGTAGAGCCCAGGGATGCTGCTAAACATCCTACAATGCACAGGACAGCCCCCACAACAAAGAATTGCCTGTCCCCAAATGTCAATAGTGCCGAAGTTGATAAACACTACCTTAAAAAAAAAAACACTCTAGCCCTTTTAATGCCTAGTGTAGTGTTGGGTATAGAAATGGTCAAAATGGGGAAAATGGTGCGAGCTGGAATTCCAAGGAAGGCTGGCCCCCAAAAGGCTGGGCATGTGGCTGGGAGAACATGCCCACCAGTTTCTGGATTCCTAAGTGGCCTTGGGGTGCTTTGTGACCCTCAGTGGCTGCTGGAAACAATGTGGAAGACATCTGTGGAGAGCTCTTGCTGCAGCTGCACCAGCAGTATCCAGGTGATATCGGATGCTTTGCCATCTACTTCCTGAACCTGTTAACCCTGAAGCCGGGGGAGGCCATGTTTCTGGAGGCCAATGTGCCTCATGCCTACCTGAAAGGAGGTGAGCCATGTTTCAGCAGTTTCAGAGCCCCACTGCCATCCTCTTGAGCCTTGTTTCCCCATCCAGACAAATCGGGAGAGGGTGGTCAAGGAAACCTTTAAGGTCTCATCCAGCTCTGACTTCCCAGGGTTCCTGGGGTCAGCAGGGAAATAGCCAGTAGGGATGATGAATGCCAGGTTGGTGTTGGACACTGCTTGAAACTTCACACCAACCCTGTAACTTGTGTGGGAATCACAATGTGAACCTAGGCTATACTGAATCAAGGTTGCTCTCGCCCCTGCATCACACTACCTTCATGTCTGTCCTGCCAACCCAGAGATTTTTTACGTTTAAAATACACATTGCCATAGAAGGGTGTCACATTTCGACTGTTGGGTGTTTATCCACTTGTGGACAGGATTTTGTGAGAGAATAGTCTGGGTAGGGTTGGGGCTCCCCCAGGAGTGAACGACTCCTGTTGACAATAACAGGTGACCTGTCATCTGTTTTCGGTATCTGATATTTTTTCCCAGAGAATGCAATTCACACATTTTTACCTAAGTGTAGGGAGTTCATGGCACTCAGGTTATAAGGCCTAGCCTTGGACAGCCAAACTCCAAGGCATCCTTCATCAGCTTAGCACAATTCTGTCTCCAGACTGCGTGGAGTGCATGGCGTGTTCAGACAACACAGTACGTGCTGGCCTGACATCCAAGTTCATCGATGTGCCAACTCTGTGTGAAATGCTCAGCTACACCCCCAGCCCCAGCAAGGAGAGGCTCTTTCCTCCAACACAGAGTCAGGAAGACCCCTATCTCTCTATCTATGACCCTCCTGTACCAGACTTCACTGTTATGAAGATGCAGGTGAGTAGGGGAGCATGGTGGTTGTCTCTTGTGGGGCATTAAAAACCCTGGCAAGAGACACAATGTGGATTATACCTGGGGCTAGGTTTCTTGTCAAATTCACTTGGTGCAGGGCCAGCCACAGGGCCTGCCCACTCCTCTGTACCAAGGACCAGATGTGGGCATCTAAGCTGACAAGAACCTGAGCAGACGGGGCAAAGACAGCAGAGCTCTTCCCTCTCCCTGCCTTTGGGGTTGTCCTGTGCCCCTGTGAGCTGCAGGAGCAGAGTCTAAGCTACACCATCCTTTTGTTTCTTCCTGCCCAGGTCCCTGGTTCCACCACTGAGTATAAGGTCTTGGTATTGGACTCTGCCAGCATTCTCCTGATGGTACAGGGTACAGTGACAGCCAGCACTCCCAAAGCCCAGGCAACAGTCCCCCTGCAGCGTGGTGGGGTGCTCTTCATTGGGGCCAATGAGAATGTCACATTGAAGCTCACTGTTCCTGAAGATCTGCTGATATTCCGTGCCTGCTGTCTCCTGTAGAGGCCATAGCCATTCTAGCTCTCCTGCCCAGTCACCCTAAATCCTGGCCAGCCTTACCTCCTCATGCCCAGCTCAAACTCCTTCCTTGCTCTGGACTCTTTGGGTATGCCTTGAAAGAGCTGGTGTAGAGCAATGAGATTGAAGGTAATGACTCCTAACAGGCCTAGGCTGAACCATCTTCTTCCTCAAAGGTGCCATGTGAGGACTAAGGGCTGACACTCCCCTTGCATTCTCACCACACCTGCACCAGATTCAATGCAGGAGGCAGCAGCTATTTCACTTACAGTAAACTGGTGAAATCTATGATTAGCTCAGCATCAGGTACAGCAAAAAAAAGTAGGTAATGTCTAAGCACAGGGTTCTGGCCCTAGGATTACACATTTCCTCAGCTGCAGAAGAGGTAAAGGGTAGGCCTGTGGATGAGTGTTGTTCATTGTCATCCTCTTGCTCTGTCAAAGCAATTAAAAGATAACTTGTTGAGGCTGTGGCACTGAAGAGCATTCAGACTTTGGTGGTCCAGTCTCTGAAGTAGGGAGAGGCAGCCAGCTTCAGCCTCAGATGCAAAGCTTGCAGGCAGACTTTGGGCCCTCCACCCCTGTAGACAGTGGAAGGTGGGTCTGAAAAGCAAGATTCTTCTCCAGGGTTTCAGTTGGCCTTTGGGCAGGGATCAGCATGCTAAGGCCATGCCTACTCATTTATATAGTATCCACCTGCTTTCAGGTTGGCAAAGTTGAGTAGATGCACCAACCCATATGGCCTGCAAAGCCTAAGTACTGACTGGCCATTCATGGAGAAAATTGGTCAATCACTTCTCTAGAGCACAGTCACTGGAGATACAGGGACTCAGGAACAGGACAATCCAATTTATGAAGAGCAACCTAGCTACTTTTTTTTAAACTGACAGGAAGTACCTAGGAGGGCATCTACTCTCCTAGTGCCTACCCTCTTAGAAGTGGGACACACCTCTGCAGGAGGTTGCACAACTACCTGTTCGCCAGTCTTGGATCTTATCACTCCAGACTAAGGAGAGACCTAGGCCACTGGCTCCTTCCTGTAGGGCAAGGGTTTAGACTCGTACAAAGGGATCTTTCTTGGCTGCCCACACCTGACCCCCTGGACAACTTAATTCTAGGAAACTACCTTCAAAAAAGTTCTGACCAATCTGTTCTAGTTTTCTTTGGTCCCCAAATTTCCTCAGCTAAAAAAAAAAAAAGGACCTAAGAAGAGGGAAGAAAGGGTTTGCTAAAGGAAACTCATTCTAAAGAGAAGTGATGTGCAAAGGCCCATTCTATCCATGGTCTCCAGTGAAGGCAGGCCTGAAAATGATGCCCATTGGGAACAGCTGAAAGGAGAAGAGGTGCTGGGGGAATGGTCACAGTTGGGAATATTAGGCTATTTCTTCATTTCAGAATTTATAAGGGACAATGACTGTAGCCTAGGCCTTTCTTAAAAATCCTGTTCCAACACAAAGACAGTGTCAACTAGCATGACTGTATTTATTATAAACTTACAGAGTTGTAGAAACTTAAGCCAAGAGTTCTGTAAAGTACTTTGTAAATAGTACACAGTACCACTCCTACCTGTGAGGTAAGCCTGAATAAATCCTCCCCAGGGCACTGTCACCTGCAAAACACCCAGCACTCTGAATTACGGCACTTTGGTTCTTAGTGCCTTTATTGGTGACATTTTAGCCTCTGGCCGCTATACCCAAACAAGTGACCATTTCTGTCCTGCCTCAGTGTACACCGTCTTCCATTCCAGGTTCCTACAACTTCTTTCAAAGGTAATGCCTCCCACACAGGGTCAACCAGCTCTGGAACAGCCTCTCCAGGGACAGTTGCAGCCAGATACACTAGTGTTGATTAATAGCAACAACTACCTGGAAGGCCTTGGTCTTGGGGTCCTGCTGCCACCCTCTCCAACACCTGCCAAATGCTTAGGTTACTGTCCAACTCCCCAAAAGAAAAGTGGCTCCACACTTGGCTGCCACAGCTACTTTTTGACCCCCACTAGGTTTCCCCTTACCACTGTCTTTACACTGTCTTACATCTGAGCCCTTTGTGTACACTTTACCTCTGCAGAAACCAGAAAGGCCTGATAGTCTCTATGGATGAGCAAGGGGTTCAGAATGGAGATGTCCTCATTCCCTGTGTAGAGTTAGAGCCCCATTCCAAAATAGAATAACCATCTGCCTCCCCTATTCCTCAGACCCCAATGTAAGGTGCCTCTGGTTTCCGTCCCATCTCCCTCCTACTGTGATACTGCTAGATTGTAGAATAAAAGTTAGCCACAGCCCCTTGGACATCATATATTTTTCCCAGCTTTCTGTGATTTGAGAAAAGCTAATGCCCACCAAGATAAATGCTCACATTTATAGGACTATCCTCATGAGGGTAACTGCCTGACAGTCTTTTTATCTGACATTCTCATCCTTTCAATTACCTCATGTGGTAGTGCAATCCATGCCATCCCTCATATACCCTTAGTGGCTGTAGGGCATCAAATGAGGCAACAGGCCAGGCACTTCCCGTGTGGGGCCCACACTCCAATCCTGACTACCATGCCCCTTAGTATGGAAACCCTGTCCACTCTCATTCAGCCCTCACCATGGTTCTAGGTAAGGCATCGACCCCTCGCCTCCCCGCACCCCCCCACCCCCCAAAAAAACTAAAACTACATTCTAGGGAAGAGGTCTGGTCCAGCAAGAGATGCTATCTAGAAGAGGTCACAGGGAGGGCTTATGCCTGTCTTTGTTGTGTACACACTGGGGACTAAGAGAGACTTCTTGCACCCAGAGGTTTACAGTCCAATCTGAATATCCACTGAGGCCCATGCTGTGGTCAGAGGAATTTGGAGGGCTGGACACAATAGAATGGCCCACACTGGGGTGAAGGACAGCCCTCTGCAATGGCAGATTAACAACTCAGGGGCTTTGGGAGCCAGCATAGGTCCCTCTTTATCCTGTCTGTGCGCCTCCACCTATGTCAAAGCCACACAGCTGCACCAGTTACTTCTCATCCATTGCTACTTCTCCAGTTTAAAAAGCTTAACAAATAGGAAGGCACAACGACCGCTCCCTGCAGCTCCCTCTTCTGGTAACCAAAAACTAGAGGCTTCTGGGGTGAGCTCCAGTCCTTTCACCCAACCTTTATTTTTTTATTTATTTTTTAAAATTATTATTTATGCCTACAGCACCTGGTCTTCCTAGGTGGTCTCCCATCCAAGTACTAACCAAGCTCAACCCTGCTTAGCTTCTGAGATCAGACATTGGGCTTGTTCAGGGTGGCTTGGCCGTAGACCATAGTGGCTCCACTGGGGTGCAAACCCAGAACCTTCTGCATGTAAAGCAGACGTCCTCACCCAACCTTTAGCTCAAAGACTGGATAGAAAAACTAGCTAAGACAAAGGCAAAGAATGGTGACTAATGAAAGACAAATATGTACACAGTGGAGCAGTTTTTCTCTAACTAGGGCTGACCAGAGTCACTAAACCTACCCAGGCATTTGGAGCAGTTAGGGATGCTCTGGGTCCAGGGATTCTAGAAGCCTTGTTCCTGCTGTGTCGTCCCTGCCAGTGAGACAGGCACAAGTGAAAGAGGGCCAAAGAGCCTTGCTCTACGCTGTCCTGAAGAGCAAACATATAACTTGTCTTGGAGCTAGGAAGAGTAGGAGAGCTTAAGGAATTTCTTAAAACTGGTCCCAAGTTATATTCTTTTTCAAAGATTCCCAGCTGCAAGCCACAAAGTGCTATTTTCTGTCTCCACACACCATCTAGCACAGCCTGGGCGCAAAAGCTCTTTTTCCTTCCAAAAAGCATGACAAATACCAGTCAGGATGTCAAGTGTTTTTCTTAGCCAGCTTTGTCACTCACCCTAAGAGCCAGAATTCCTCTATTTCTGCCCTTATTAAAGTGGTTTTGCCAAACTGTTCCAACAGCAGAGGAAAACTGCAGAATTGCACGTATTTCACCCTATAACCCAGATAGGGTCCTCTGGCCTGAAAAGCACCAGGTAAGGGGTAACTGCAGGTCACTGACCTTCCCAGAAGGTCTGTGCCTCCAGTGATTGGGGCAAACAGCAATTCCCACTGCACTCCGTGACCTATGAAGAACTGAAAGGGCTCTGCAGGCATGATGGGCAGGACCCATTTTAGGGGGTTATGTCTACTGGAGAGTACAGGAGGAGGAATCCCCAAGACAGCACCAGCAGCAGGAGCACGTGGAGGAGGTCATAGGCTTGGGGGGAATGAGGTCCAAGTCCTCATCATCTGGAATCTCATCCAGGTGATACCCATCCTGGAGCAGCTGGCGGCTCACATCCTGGTTCACCTGCTAAGAGCAGGAGAGAATTGTAAGCCAGGCTGCAAAGCAGAAATAACTGGTGCCAAAAGGCAGCCCACATTCCCTTACTGGAGCTTCCAGTCCAAGCTCCACCCTCAGGATAAACCCACAAATCCCTGGACTATAGGAGGAAGTGCCAACTTTTCCTACCTGTGCCTCAGGCAGCTGCACCCAGGGGCCTGAGCCAGTACTGTCCAGGCTGCACTGTCTTGAACCTCAGGGAAGGTACTCTCTAAAGAATACTGAGGCATCTGATAGAAATACCAGATTCTAGATTGTTTGAAAATCAATGCTCTGACCTTTCCCCCTGGGAACTCAGACAGGTCTCTGAGAAGGCTGAAAAATATAGGCCAATGATAGAACAATGGGGTGGAATAGTAGAGGAACATGACTTATAGTAGAATAGGGTGGAGAACGGCTCTGTCTACACTGCTGGTTAGACATGTTGTCCTTCAGTGCCAGCAGAGCTCATTCCTTGCAAAGTGGAACCTGTCTGCCTAGCTTTACCAGTTCTGCTGAGCAGAAGGAAAATCAGACTGGAATAGTGTAGGACTTTCTCTGGCTTTTGACTAATTTTTCTTTTCTTAGTTTTAACCATTTCAGGCACCCAGCTATTCAAGGAGGATACAATTTACAAGCTGCCTCTATTCTCTTTGGCAGAAACTCAGGGGTAGCCAAAGGTTTCCAGAATAAATACCAGTGGTGTACAGTCATGTCTCCAGCACTTCACTTGTCATAGGCAGTAAGCTACATATGCCAGAACTTTATGTCTCTTGTTTTTGTCTGGAACAATCACTCTGGAAATATGTCCAAAAGGCCAGCCCAGGAGTATCTTAGTCTAAGTTCCCATGGAAGGAACAACTGACACAATAGACATTTGGCCTGGAAGAAAGCAAGCTTGGTGGAAGATGGCTGGGGGACAGACAAGAATGCTGATCTCAGATGCAAGACAATAAAAAGGGAGACTATGAGTTACTGTGTGTCCTCCAGTAACTATGAGTAACTATGAGTTACTGGAGGACAGGCCTAGGACCAGAGTCCAGGCTGCAGGAGACATTTCAAATTAATAAGGAAGACTTAGCTCTAAGCACTACCTGAAGAAAGAATTATGCATGTGTTGCGGGGAAGGCAGACAGCAAGGTTTCTTGGAGGTAGTGAGTACCCGATTATAAGAAGCATCCAAGCAAGCAGAGGTTGGTAAACACTTATCTGGGATATATCTAAGATTCCTTTTCTCAATGGTGGCCTGGACTAGAAGACTTGTGAGGTCATTTCCAGCCCTAAGGGCCTATGGTCTTTTGGATTTTCAACAGCTCTCCTCAGACACCTGTACCTCTGCTGGGTGAAGGGGGCATGGGGGGCGGCATAGAAAATTGGAGAACCAACCGAAGTCTGGCATAGTGCCATGCATGTAGCAGGCACCGGACAAGCATTTAGCAGTGGTGATGACACTGCCTGAAGCCTGGCCCCACACAGGAAGGCATTCTGGACTTGCCTCTGCAGAGGAATACCCGGAGGAGTATCTGGATTCCAGCTCCCCATCACTAGGAGAAGAGGAAGACAGTCAGTTCAGTGGGATGCTTATAGAGCACAGCTGCAAATGGCCAGGTGGAGAGCATGCAAGGGCATCTGCAGGATTTATAAAGCAAAGACCACACACCATAGAACTCAAGCCCGGAATTTGCTGTAAGTACAAATTGTTTCTTCAATGGCTTCAGCAGGGTGAGGGTTACTGTCACTAATAGTGCAAGACATAAGGCAGGATGATTTCCCCCAGACAAGGTTGGTGCTCCAAATCCAAGAGCAGCATGAGTCCTCTGAGTCCTCTAATCAAGCCATCTTGGGAAGGGACAGTGCTCCAAAGACAGCCCTGGAACATGCATGAAGGGTCTTGGAAGAGATAGGGAACTAGCAAAGGCACCAAGCAATCTGCTGTTGTACCCAACTCACTCCCCAAGGGATAGTTCCAAGGAGAGCACTCACCTGTCAGAGTCGAGGGACACCAGGTTTTCATCTGGACTCTGACTAAGAGCAGTATAGCCCTTATTAAACTTCACTGACCTGAGGGGAGACGGGGGAGAGGTCATGCAGATATGAGAACCAGCATTTATAGAGAAAGCCAGAGTCCTTGCCCTTACGTAAAAAACTGACTGTACTCCTGACTTGCCTTCTATCTAGTCACACACCCACCAATGCCAGCCATGTGTCTGGCTACAGCTCCTCAGAATAGGCAATTCCCCACACCACTCCCCCTGCTACTCAGGAAGAAAGGTGCACCTTTTTCTGAATCAGGAAAAGCAAATCCTCCCTACATTTATTTAACCAGAGTACAGAAAAACCTCAACTCCTTAGACAAATCCCTTCACCTGAGTTTCAATTCTTATCTGTAAAAGAGGCACCGGATAAGGTCCTACCCAGCCCGCAGTTTACCAGTTTTAATAAAAACACAGCACTAGCTGCTCTCCATCCTCAGTCCTAGGGACCCAGCCATTATGCTCCTCATTTAATGAATGATTCTATGCCCTGACAAAACTCTCTAATTCCAAAGAAAGTCTTTTCCCTGACACCATCACATCCTTAAAGGAAAAAGAAAAAAAGGTCGTTCCTCTTCCTCCTTTAAAATAGTGAACCTGACACGTTGGCCTCAGGGGAATCCCTAGCCCGGCCTTAAACGTGAGTCCTCTGTCTCCCAGACCCAGGACTAAGGCCTTTTCTGGAAACTGCTTGCACAGAAGGTGGCCCTTGCTGACACCTTTTCCCTGAAGAGTCGGGGCGGTTCGGCGAGGCCCCCAGCATGCCTTTTCTTCGCAGAACGGCCTTGGCCAGGTCCCGGTGCTTCTCTGGAAGTCAAAGGGCCCGGGTCAGCGGAGTCTTCCCCACTCTGCCGTGTCTCCCAAACGCCAGGAACCCACTCTCGCCGAACATATTTTCGGGAGCGGACAGCAGGTGCCCCTCCGAGGTCGCCCCAGTGGAGCTCCGGAGCCCGCCCGGGGGACACGGCAGCCCGCCCAGGCAGAGACGCCCATCAGGCCGCACTCACGCAGCTTGGCCTGAATGGAAGGTACGCGCATCACCATGTACGGGCCCCGCTTCTCCACAGCCGCCGGGGTCCGCTCCCCCACCCGGGGTACTCTGCGGCCACTTCGCCCAGAGGGCGCCCCCGCAGCTCCTGCCACGCGGCCCGGAACCCCGCCGGGCCCAGGTCCTGGAGTTGAAGCCGGCGCCGCGTGCCCACTGGGCTCCGCGGTCGCCATGGCCTGGCCACGCCCTGCCGATTTGCGGGACCCAGCTGTGTGGCTAACCAGCCGACAGCCCGGACGGAGGGAGGGGTCTTTGAACAAGATGGCAGTGCGCAGGCGCAGGTCGTACTCACACGAGCTTCCGGCCCCGCCTCCTGTGGGCGTGGCATAGCTTTCGCTTTTGTAGGGACAGGGTAGTTTCCCTCCTCCTTTTCCGGCGCCCTGAGGTTCTTGTAGTCCCTCTGAAGGTGGGGCTATCGCGTCCAGTCCGTCTGTAGTCAAAGTCACATATCAGTATTCATAGAGAGTGTGCTCCCGCAGACCGAGCCCTTTACGTCCCTGCTCCCACATGCTCTCTGCGGTGTCTCGCGGGTCGTATCGCCAAACCCGGAACTCCCCAAGGGCAGGGCTGGGAGAGTTTGGGTTAAACCGAAAAGGGCTGTATGAGAAAGGGAGATATTAGCGTTCTTCTCCAGAAAAGGAAACGGGCCCGAGAGAGGTTCAAGGACCTATCAGAGGTCACGTAACTAGAGGCAGTGCCTGGACTAATCGAGCTATCGCCAAACGCACGTGATTCCCAACACTACGCGTTGTCTGAAACCTTGGACGAGGCCAGACCCTCTCTAGTCCTCAGTTTCCACATTTTAAAATGTGGATATAATGCACTGTCGTACAGCTAAAATAAAAATAGGCCGTAGAAAAGAGAGTGAAAGTGCGCTGAGTCTGTGTGTGGCAGGGCACGGTGCTGTCACTGCTCTTGACTTCTTTGGCCCCCCAAGAGATGTGTTTGTAGCTGGCTAGAAAGAAACTCCAGATTCTTGTAGGAATTGCCAAATCTCATGAGGCTGTCCCGAGGCTAATTTATTGGCCTCCACAGTGTATGTCAACAATATAGAACTTCTGAGCTTCCAGGGCCACCCAAATAGTTGAGTTAGACTATGCCTTAGGAAGGATAGGAGAAAAGAATTTAGGGATGGAGTTGTTGTTTTTTTTAATTAGAAGCACAAAGGAATGCTGACTATTTTGGTAGATTCCACCCCTGTTTTGACCTCCAGAAACAGCAATTGCATATGGCTGAACTTAATATTTAATCCTCTTGACCGCCTGCTGAAGCTGGTTGTTACTTCTGTTATACAATGGGACTTAGACTTGGTCAAACTCACTAGTTAAGTGGTAAACCTAGAATTTCAACTCAGCTCCCAGTGGACTCCAAAGAAATGGTTTTTCTCATGATTATGATGCCAGTTAAACTGATGGGGACCTTACCAAAGGCCAAAGAAAATGTGATCAAAACCCACTCGATGTCACAAAATGTCCAGGAACTTGTAGTAAAAAAGTCTGAGCGCCCTTATCTATACCCCTCTTGAGGCTCATCATTAGTGCTCAATTAATTGCTATGTGATTGGACATGAACTCTGAATCCAGACTATTTGCTTTGCTACTTACTGGCATAACATAAACCTCTTTATGTTTCAATTTATTTAGCTGAGAAATGGGGATGATAGTACCTATCTAATAGTATTGTGAGGTTCAATTGTCAAGTGCTTGGAATATAGTAAGCACTGGGGAAATGTAACCTTACAAAGCTTACACAGTGTTCTAAGTATTTAGTGTTTATTCTCTCACTTGGCTTTATGCTCCCCAAGGGGACTACCTTATTCATTTTCCTATCCCTTGTTTTTAGCACAAAGTCATAGCAATACATATTTGTCAAATGAATGTTCTGTTTCCCCTTTTAACTTTTAGTTAATTTAGAATCATAGGACTTTGGAGCTAGGAGAGATCTTAGAAATTATATAGTCCAAGTTCATTTTATTTATTTATTAAAAAATTTTTCCAAACTCATTTTATTAATGAAGAAATTGTGATTGCCCAACTGTCCTGGCCTGGATGTGGGCAGTTCTCTTTCTCATTTAAGAAATTTATTGGTTAGGAATTTAAGCAAAATAAATTACTCCTCACTCCCCAAAACGAACAACAAAGAGTAGAGTCTAAGTTGAAGGGAATGAGTCTTCTGGGCAAGAACTTCCACAGCACATAGGACCCAGAGCCACTCTTCTTCACCCCTTCTACTCAAACCCTAACCCAAAGTGACTGCGCTGGCTGGCTCCCTTGCTGTACTGCGGATCCTCAGATCTTTCGTTCAGCAAAGCTTTATTCATCTAAGGTGTGGCAGGTTACTATTCCAGGCCCTATAGATCTAATGATGAATTGGACGGATAAGGCATCTCCTAGTTTCTGGTTCCAGTCTTCTTTGTTATTGGGGGTGGGGTGGAGTGGAGGTAAATTCTTGGCTGTTAGGAGCAAATACTTCCACCCTGGTTTTCAAGCCCTCCTGCACTTGTTTGAGCAGTTGCATCTTTATCCTTGGCTCCAGATCATGGGAATCCCACCTATTCCCTAATTTTCTTTAGTCCTGGAACATATGAATCTTCATCATCAGTCAAGAATGATGGTTATGCTGTCCACCGGCAAGTATCTGGGATTAGGCATAGGGATGGGGAACAGTTGTGAATTTTTGTTTATTGAGGTATAATTGACATATTAGTTTCAGGTGTACAACATAATGACTCGAAATTTGTACACATGGCAAAATCACCACAATAAGTCTAGTTAACATACATCACCATACAGTTATAATTTTTTCTTTTTTTCTTATAATGAGGACTTTTAAGATCTACTCTCTTAGCAACTCTCAAATATGCATTACAGAATTAAGTATAGTCACCATGCAGTGCATTACATCCCCATGATTTATTTTATAGCTGAAAGTTTGTGCCCTTTGATCTCCTGCACCCATCCCCTAGTTCTAACAGGTTTTTTCCCCTGCATCCACCAATCTGTTCTCTATATCTATGAATTTGTTTTGTTTTGCTTTTATATTCTACATATAAATAAGATCATATGGTATTTGTCTTTCTCTGTCTGACTTATTTCACTTAGCATAAGGTCCATCCATGTTGTTGCAGATAGCAAGACTTCATTTTTTTATGGCTGAATTGTGTATTTTTATATATATAATTTCTTTATCCATTTATCTATCAGACACTTAGATTGTTTCCATATTGTAAACACTGCTGCAAAATGAACACAGTGGTGCATATATCTTTTTAAATTAGTGTTTTCATTGTCTTCGGATAAATACCCAGAGTGGAATTGCAGGATCATGTGGTAGTTCTGTTTAAATTTTTAAGGAACTTCCATACTGTTTTCCATAGTGGCTACACACACAGTCCCGCCAACAGTGCGCAAGGGTTCTATTTTCTCCATATCCTTGCAAACATTTGTTATATCTTTTTGAAAATAGCCCTTCTAACAGCTGTGAGGTGATATCTCATTTTGCTATGATTTGCATTTCATTGTTGGTTAGTGATGTTGAGCATCGTTTCATGTGCCTATTGGCCATCTGTATGTCTTCTTTGGAAACATACCTTTTAAGATCTGCCCATTTTTAAATAGGATTTTTGTTGTTGTTGTTGTTGAGTTGTATGAGTTCTTCGTATATTTGGGATATTAACCTCTTATCAGATATATTATTTGCAAATATTTTCTCCCATTCAGTAGGCTGCCTTTTCATTTTGTTGGTGGTTTTCTTTGCTGTGCAGAAGCTTTTTAGTTCTACTTATTTATTTTTCCTTTTTTTGCCTTTGCTATTGGAATCAGATCCAAAAAATCATTGCCAAAACCACTGTCAAGCTTACCACCTAGCTTTTCTTTAGGAGTTTTATGGTTTCAGATCTTACATTCTAGTCTTTAATCTATTTTGAGTTAATATTTGTGTATGATATAAGATAGAAGTCTAGTTTTATTCCTTTGGTATGGCTGTCCAGTTTTCCCAACATTATTTTTCGAAGTGACTGTCTTTTTCTCTTTTGTTGTAAATGAATTGACCATATATATGTGGGTTTATTTCTGGGTTTTCTATTCTGTTCCATTCATCTATGTATCTGTTTTTATGCCAGTACCATACTGTTTTGATTATTATAGCTTTGTTTGAAATCAGGTACTGTGATGTCTCCAACTTTGTTCTTTTTTTCTCAAGGTTGCTTTGGGTACTTGGGGTCTTTTGTGGTTCCATACAAATGTTAGGATTGTTTGTGAAAGATGCCATTGAAACTTTGATAGGAATGCACTGAATCTATAGATTGCTTTTAGTGTGAACATTTCATCTTTTAGTATGGACATAAATTCTTCCAATTTATGAGCACAGGATTTCTTTCCATTTATTTGTCTTTAATCTCTTTCACCAATGTCTCATAGTTTCCAGTGTACAATTCTTTCATCTCCTTAATTAAATTTATTACTAGATATTTTATTCTATTTGATGCAGTTGTAAATGGGATTGTTGTCTCAATTTCTCTTTCTGATATTTCATCATTAGTGTATAGAAATGCAACAGATTTTTGAATATTGATCTTGATTCCTGCAACTTTAATGAAGCCATTTATTCTAATAGTTTTTTTGGGGGGGTAGGGTCTTTAGGGTTTTCTATATATAATATCATGTCATCTGCAAATAATGATAGTTTTACTTCTCCTTTCCCAATTTGGATGCCTTTTATTTCTTCTTCTTGCCAGATTGCTCTGGCTAGGACTTCCAATACTGTGTTGAATAAAAATAGAAGAGTGGGCATCTTTGTTGTCCCTGATCTTAAATGAAAAGCTTTCATTTTTTTCACTATTGAATAGGATGTTCTCATATATGGACTTCTTTTCATGCATGTATGTATTTTGATACCCTGCTCCTTGAAACAAAGCCTGCCCTTTATGTATGGCTTTTATTATGTTGAGGTACATTTCCTCTATACCTACTTTGTTGAGCATTTATCATAAATGGATGTTAAATTTTGTCAAATACTTTTTCTCTATATTGAGTTGATCATACCATTTTTTAACCTTAATTTTGTTAATGTGGTGTTTCAAGTTGATTGAGTTATGTATGTTGAAACATTCTTGCATCCCTGGAATAAAACCACTTGATCATGGTATAAGATCCTTTTAATGTATTGTTGTATTTAGTTTGCTAATATTTTTTGAGGATTTTTGCATCTATGCTCATTGGGGGTGAATTTTTTGTTCTGCTACTTCCTTCTGAAGCTCTATTTCCCTACCTCACCAGCCTAGCCTTTGACTTCTCCCATATTGGTAGAGCATAGGAAACTGATGGAGCCTATGAATCTGAAGGTCTTTCTGGGCTCCCAGGTCACCCCACCTTCATCCCAACATTAATTTATGTCACCTCCCTCTAGGGAAGAGATATTTCCCAATCTTCAGAACATTCTCATATGGACTGTCATACCCACTTTACATGTGTAAGAGGAAATGAGGGTCACAGGGGTTAATTGACTTTCCTAAGGCCACAGTGCTGTAGAGTTGAGAATTGAATCCTTATCTGCCTCAAAAGCCTGCCCTCTTTTTATGCCAGTCAGGTGTGTGTCTTTAATATTATGGACTGAATTGTGTCATTTCCCCCACCTCATCCCCAAATTCATATGTTGAAACCCTAAAGCCCATGTGATCATATTTGGAGACAGAAACTTTAAGGAGGTGATTAAAATTAAATGAGGGTGGGTCCCTAATCCAATAAGGTTGGTCCTTATAAGGGATGTGTGCACACAGAGTAAAAGGCCTTGTGAGGACACAGCAAGAAAGTAGCTATCTGTAAGATAGACAGAGAGACCTCATCAGAAACCAACCCTGCTGGCATCTTGATCTTGAACTTTCAGCCTCTAGAATTGTGAGAAAATACATTTCTGTTGTTTAAAACCACCTAGTCTGTGGTATTATTATGGCAGCCCTAGCACACTAATACAAATGACAGTCTCCAAAATTTCAGAG